GCGCAAAGGTCTCAAGGGGTATCAGCGAATGCACCCACTACATGAGTAGTCCAAATGTCAAAGCGAGTTATCGTCGTATATAGTCGTCGAGGAAGCTAGTCTTCTCCGTGTCATGCTCTTTGAGTGCAGAGTTTGTGCCCGTCACTGATAACATCCACTCATTCATGCGGAGAAGAAAAGTCCCCCAATCACTTTTTCTATTGCAACCTTTGGAAATATCAAGTTCAGCTCCACAGGGCACAGAACTCTAATCCCAGAATATCTTGAACTCTTGCTTCAGTAAAGGGAGTTCATGCATTTAATAATTCGGTGCGTGTCAAAGAAATTTTGAAGAAGCACAACAATTCTGACTGAAATGGAGTCATATAATTAAAGCCAGAGAGCTTTAAAGTGATGCAACTAATACCTTCCTTTTTTCTTTTCATACCATCTATAAATCATGAGGGTCGACAGGAGGCTAGTATTCATATATAATTTAATCTTCGAGCGCAAGATGAGAAAATCCTGGCTTTCATTTGCTATGTTGAGTATCTGTAGGTGTCAGCACATCGAGCAGTTTATTTAGACTGGCCAAATCGGTACGTGAAGAGCTCACATGCTGTACGCGGGCATAACGTTAGTTATTATAAATAAATAAATCATACTTTCCAAGAGCTATATCACGCACAAGATTGTGTGGGAAAAATAGAAGAAACTAAGCTCATACGGGTCTAAACACGATATTTTTCTTTCCAATACACTATCCCTTGAATTGAATTTGTTCCTGTTTAACTTCCTATCCGGTATCTATACTACAGAAACACGAAGACAGCAAACCGCTATGGTTATGGAAAAAGCTTTAAACAAACAGAACCCACTCTCCTGCCACTCTGAAAAGACCTGGCTTAATACTGAGGACGTGTCTTTGAACTACAAATTATAAGCTTTAACCTCAATTTGTTAACTCCTTCAATCAGACTAATGCTATAAGAAATTGAATAACGAAGGCACCTTCTCACTTGGCGTTGGTCATCGAAGTGTCTAAAGCGTAAGCCCCGATGGTGGTGCTGCTATCGCGGGGATCATTGCTGCTGCTGGGGCTTTGACTACCTTTCGCGATCGTCCCTATTAAAGCTCTTAGGGGTATTTGGATGATAGGAGTGAACTTTGACAGTAAAGTCGATACTGTATGAATCTTAAGATAGTGGGGATTCCAGGATCAAAGATAAAAGGTTAGGAACAGTGAGGTTTTTGGTTTTACTGAACTTACATTTTTTTGGTTAGAAGGGTTAGGTTTTAATCTAAATCTAATTATCTAACTATTTTCTGATTACGTGATGGAATGACGTTCCCACCACCGAGTTCATTACCAACCCAAACCTCACCAAAGCTGGTAGCTATCGAAGATGAGTAGTCTTCGCCTACTTAGTACTGCATGTGGTTCGGTCTGGTATGTCTAGATTTCAACAGTTCCGACCCTCTTGTGAGTCCTTCAGTCTTCTTACTGGTGACCAAAATGAATGCCAGATCGTCACTCCTTCCGACTCTTCGCATTGGCGCCGTTGTGGGTTTTATACATTCTCCCTTTCGGCGAGGGGATCAATTTACCATTATCAGAATAACCCGCTTAGTCAGCTAGTTAATTGACTTAAAACCTCCCACACCCTCGATACTTGACTTGTATAATACTTTTGGATTAGTGCATAAATAAATTTATACCCTTTTTATTCAATCTTTATTCCAAATGTTGTCACATCGGTGACTCTACTTATTAAATTTTGAAGCACCAGTGTCTCGTTTATTTTAAAAGAGTTAGCAAGGTGGTGGATATGAATATAAATATTATTTTCATCTTCAATATAAGCTGATTTGGCCGAGTGGTCTAAGGCGGTGGTTTTAAGTGTACAGCACCACACCATTATCGAGAGATGCGTGAGTTCGAACCTCACAGTCAGCAGTTATTTTTGACTTGCGTAACAATCAAGTCATGTAGTTAAGAGTTATCCCTTTAATATTTATAAGAACTACTACGATATCAAACCTTTGGTCCGTACAAGCTTCTATTTAATGAAAATCGACCTCAGAAATATTGTTGCATGCTTGCACGTCATCATATATGATTGTGCAAACTTTAGAGAGGGCTTTTTGTGAAAGTCACGCGAATTGTAAAAACGTGAGAGCGAATACAAGAATTAATACTAGATTATTCCGTTCTAAAAGTAAATAATGGCACTATAACATCCAGTCCAACTCCTGGTTTTGTTTCTTACGATTATCATTAGCCAAATTTAGCTGCACGCAGATCTTACTTTCGATTTTCGGCTCGATCAAAATTTACAAAGGCGTAATTCGGAGGACAAAACTGAACACTTGTACGCGGTGTCCTCTTCGAAGCTGTGGGGGAAGAATTATCCCAGAGCCAAGTTCAGTCAAATTTCGCAATACCAAAGAAGCTGGCCCACGAGGCAATGATATTATGATTGGTATATGATTTGGGAATGTACATTTGCGCTGGAACAGGTAAGATGGTTTGTGGAGAGATATCTTCATTAATATGCAGAAGTGAGGTTACTGTGGTAATAACCATGTTACAGTTGGAGGAAGCTCGTCCTTATCCCATAGCTTGTTCGCCTGTAGACCGATCACGTGACCAGTATGCAGCACACCAAAGTGTGCTGCATACTGAGCAGCTATGCCATTTGTATTATATCAATAACCCGTCTCTCATACTGCACACAGTATTACTTACAATGCTGTTGTGTAAAGATTGGATCTTCTTCATGCGCCTTAATGTCATACTGCCGTAATAACTATCTATTCACCAAAGGAGGAGGACCGGAAAGCAAAAGGGCTGGACAAGTAATATAGAATCTAGGCTCAGAATTATCAACCTAATTTTTCTTTCAAACTTTTCAAACTTCAAGACAACAGCAGAGAGACAAAGTTAGGATTCTTCCAGGCACGGCTCGGGATTAGAAATACACATGTCTATCTTCACATTATTGGGAAGCTTCAGGATAGCGTATGTGTAACTTTTGTAGGAGAGAAAAGCAGAACATGCAACACCTGTTGTTACACTGTCCCGAATTCCGAGATCAAAGTAACTGATGTTCTCGGAGCTTAGAGCCAAGGGTACTTCCCATATTATTTCGAACAAAGAGAGGAGAGGTAGCTCTACTAACATATTTGGAGACATTCAAGTGCACGACAACACACAAAGGAAGTTAGAGTAGGATATCTCAATGGGAAAATAACAAGAAATATTGAAGACGGTATTTTAGAGAGGAGTTCTGGGGATAAAAAGTATGTAAACAATGTGTCATAGCTAGATAACTGAATACACGATGACTTAAAAAAATACCTATGCTCCAGCTACTAGATCTACCATACTACATGGCTGGGAATAACAAACCTGACCTAGAGACGAAGACAGTTATTCGCTGACCTAATTATTGCGGACAGGCACGACGTTAAATCAAACTCCAACTCTGGCTTGCTCAGAGTCCATGACGGCTCGTTTCATCCTTCGATGTCTCTCTGGATCCCAGATCTGGCGGATGCCATTCATCATGCAATAAGCATTATGGCCTGAAGTTGTCTCTGATTAAGAGGGATTGCTGTCGGGGGGATGCTGAACTCTCCCCAGAGAACCAAAATTTGAAGATATGCGCCATGCCGATAGATCCGCTCCACCGTTTTTGGGAATTATCTTTTCCAACAGATCTATGTGCCAGCAAATCTAGTAGCAAGAAGAACATTACGAACATGCCGGTTTATTTTTCTCCTAATGAGACTAGTATTAATCTAGAATATGTAGTTTCTTTCTGCTTACAGACTGGATGAGATAATTACGAATGCGTTTAGAAATAGGTTGGCATAATTAAAATGATTGGGCAGGTTAGCTATGCACGTGTTGACTACGGGGGACTATGTTAACATCTGTCAGTGATGAACCATGCGAACCTCCAGCTCTCACTGTAGAGTCTGCAGAGCCGAGATTGAGTATTACCTTATCAACTTTGAGCTGAGTTATCACCCTCTCCGTCATAGATACGTTTCCGATCACTCATAAGATGATCAAGACGAAGATAATGATGCTGGGAATGAGGAAAGATAATGCGGTATCAAACGCTACAACGATAGTCAGAGAAGCCCTCGTTATATTACAACGGGTGCTCCACACCCGCAAATGGCCATCGTTTCGTTGGCTGGAGAGGGGAGATAATAACAGAATAACGGTTCCTCTTAGGGTGTACTCGAATGAAGACCTGTGGGTGTATTACTGCTGGAAAGAAGTCGTGAAAGAGTTATAGGTACTCCCGGCCTGTAGGCAGAAAGGACCTACATGTCCTTACATAGTCATAGACTTCATAGGACAATAAATACAAACAAGCAAATTGTTGGAATGTAAGTCTTTTACCAGGCGCTTAGTGCAGTGCATCTCTCTGATGCTGGGCCATTGTCCTGATGACTCAGCCAACACCGCAAACTGGACGTTCGCAGTGTTCATAGATAGAAACAAAAACAACAAGAATCCATACCTCACTTTCGTACCTTTCGTTTTGCATTGAGCTAACCTTACGTATACGTAAGATAAGGCCAATCGACACAAACATCAATTTCTCGTAGTAAATATAACAAATCAAGGATATTCGATATACCGATATCGCCGTCGCCATTTAATAGTTGTATCGAATAACTGACATATGATCTAATTACTGTCATTGGCTGAATCTTGAATATATTTAGATCTGTGCCTAATAATCAAGGCACAGTCCACCGTTTCCTAGTTTAATTCCAAGTATATCATGCACTTCCCCACACGACTCATTAGGCCTGGTAGATGTCTGGATCCACCTCATGCAGATGTATTCTTAAATGGCGAATAAGACTACCGACACGACGAGAATATTGAAGTGGAGGAATAGGAGGTCACGCTCATGTCTATCATTGCTGCACATACTATGCCACAGCAGGAGGATGACGAGGATAAGGAGGCAGCTGAGCCAGTTGCCAACTCCATGGAGCTCACGACACTCTTGCGAATGGAAAGAAGCGTCCAGCACCAGACAGAGCTTAATAGAAGTCAAGAGACATTAAATATCTGGTTTAAATAATACATGAGGTAGAACGATATCAGAATTGATGTCCGGGGATGTGTGAAGATTTCATAAAGTGGACTGGGTAAATAAGCGTGTTTGTACGTAGTATCACGTGTTCAAGTTCTCCACTAAAACCTTATATCAATACAAAATATCGGCACGGAATTACCTCGTTAACACGATTCCGCACCGTACTACAATAAACCCTCCCCCACATACTCTCATTCATAGTGGGTTACTTGGTGGGCCCTGAGATCAACACTGGACACGGGCTGTATAGAGTGATTGGAGAGAGTCGATGCATCGAAAGTTGTAACGATCAATAACTGCGTGAATTCGGCCCAGGATTCAGACTACCAAGCTCACAGTAAAATCCGAAAGTCACGCGGAGGAAAAAAGGAGAAGATTTGATATGCGTCATGTCCCTATGGACAAAATTTTAAAACTTAAAACACCTTTAATGAGCATCTCTTGGTCAAAAAAAGCTTGTTATATTTCCTTCGTCAATAAGGATCTGAACGGCCCAAGTTCATATAATGATCGAAACAGGAATAGTTGAATAGGTCTTAAAGGATTAATGGCTTGATGAGCTAATAACTGCCGATTGGTGGATGCTACCCCGGGACTTACAGGATGAAGGACAACTTTAATCAAAAGCGCTTGGCTTATGAATTCTAAGCAAAAGTTACTGTACACTCGTGCCTGCAGCACGCAGCCACGATATATGAGTCGTATCGTGCGTCTTGAGAGATGTTGCCTCAATAACATGGGAATCATTGCATTCTGAGCTCAACATCATGCACCACTTCTAACTTATGATTACCTACAGTCATCATAAAAGGGCAATTGATATTGATTTTTTGATAACTTTGGGAAATAGAATCTCGAGTCATGTGGGATTCGCTTGCACAGACGTAATGCAATTTCACCGTCCATATCAGCGGTGAGATTTTATTAAGTGCCCCAGCAAGACAAGATGACTTTGTTAAAGCAAATAATTCCATTTTAATATACGCTGACGTATTCACTGCAACGACTCATTTGCTATTAGAGGAGAGGAAATTTGATAAAAGAATGGAGAAGTTCAAAACTTTATATAAAATATGGCAGCTTCCTGTTATTTCTGCGGCACCCATCACCATCATTCTAAGACCCACTCGGAAGAAGTAGGCTTTCACTCATTTATCTCTATTTCCTAATTCTAAGGCTTTCATTATCATGAAGATTTCTCAAAGACTTGTGGGAGTGGTTTTATCTACTGTCTTAACTCAAGCGAGGAACGTCTTCTACTATGATGAGTAAGTCAACCACCCACTGTGATAACTGTTTGGCCTGCTAAACTGTTGAAAGAGAACATCCACATTTACCTGATCCGAAAGTAACGGCAGATGTTGATCATGTAAATATTGCCCATGCTAAATCATCTATTTTCACCACCAATCCTGCAGGCGAATACGCTCCTTTTCAAAATTTATCCAGCTTGAAAGCCCATTTCAAGCCTGATACCAAATTTTTAATTTCCATAGGAGGTTGGGGAGATATTGGCTTTCGAAAAGCTGCGGCTACAGAAGACTCTCGCAAATTGTTTGCTAGCAATATCGCTGAGTTGCTTAAAAAACTCAGCTTAGATGGTGTTGATATTGATTGGAGGTACCCTGGTGGTAATGGTGATGATTATCGGCAGGTTCTCAACTGGGACCTAGCTGCAGAACCTGGTACTTATCCATTATTATTGTCTGAGATACGCTCTGCGATTGGCTCAAAGAAAATTTTGAGTATTGCTGCTCCGGGAAAGCCCGAGAACATGATCGTCTACACGCCTCACAATGCTACCTCAATCTGGAACTTGGTAGATTGGGTTAACGTTATGACATATGATCTAATGGATCGTCGAGATGGCATTACCAAGCACCACACTGACGTTGAGACGTCATTAAAAATCGTCGACCATTACATCGATAACCTCAAGCTTGAACCCCACAAGATCAATCTTGGCTTTGCTATGTTCGCCAAGTGGTTCAAAGTTGATCCAATGGAAAAATGCGAAACAGGTCTGGGCTGTATAACTCTCCTACTAGAGACTCAGGATGGTATAGACACACAATCAAGCGGCAGCATTACCTTTGAAACAGCTAATCTAGCACCGCCTCCATCTAACATCACCGAAACTACTGACGGTACCTGTGGCCCTGAGATCTTCAAGACTTGCAAAAAAGGACACTGCTGCTCCATTTACGGTTACTGGTATGTCTTCCCCATCCTCACTTCATTTCCCGTTTACTATTAAGCAAGGACAAATGAGATTCACTAGTATATCATTCTCTAACTTTACTTCAGTGGTACCACAGAAGATTATTGTAATAATTGTGAGGGCGTAGCCTATGGTTCTGGATGCAAGGCAGTTTCTCTTAAATCTCAATTTCAGACTGCTATGCTTAATGGCATCACTGATTCGAAAATGGGTGGCCAGTACTATTACGACCGAACCAGAAGCACTTTCTGGACGTGGGAAACGCCAGATTTAATAGCGCAGAAATTTGAAAAGATCATGGCGGCTCGTAAGCTCGGCGGAGTAATGGTTTGGAGTCTAGGCGAGGATAGCTATGATAATAGCCATCTCATTGCTATCCGTGAAGGAAACTCTTATCTCAAAGATCCAAGCGCTTATCAAAAGAAAAAACCAAACAACGTTGCAAAACCCATTCAACCAATTCAATCCCCTCAGCCAGAGCCAAAACCTCAGCCTTCGAAAACCCACTGGTGGAAATTTTGGTAAGAGATGAGTCTTTGAGAAAGAACTAATTGGATAGTCTATTTCTAACTTGATATATTATCAAATCTTAATTCAGAATGTACTACTAGAATTAAACCCGAATTTTAAGTCGCTTTTGTTAAGACTATTGTCTCGTGAGCTTGTGTCAAATAAAATTGCGGAACATGCCGAGATGCGGGCAAGAGCACGGCTGCTGGGGGAAATTAATCTTAGTTTCCTACTCGGGATTAGTGCTGTCATTGTAGGACAAGTTATGCCACAACTTCATTGGGATGTATCTACAGTTCAATAGGTATCAATGTTATTACAACGTTAACCCGTATCACCAATTAGTGCATGCACAGATTGAAAAACAATAAGAGCAATAAGAGTTGCTTTATAACCTCTCACAATTCAGTGCAGATCCAGCTATCGCACTCTGGAATATGTCCAATGTCTGGACGATAGGCACGTTGGTTGTTATTCACCGAGTAATGTAAGCGACAAGTCGTGGAGACGATTTGTCGAGTGAAGGAATAGTCATTCTTTGATGACTCAAGTTACTGACAGAGTACCTCTCAGTTATACGAGGGAATGAGACACGTTTAGAACAAAGTAGATAATTGGAACACACTTTGGTGGATGGGGAATTCTATAAGACCCAACTTATATCACTACTGTGGGATATCAATCCAATCCTGATCCATCTACGCCTTACATTTGCTATGCAGTGACTCTTATCAAGTTATACAAGTGATCAGAGTGCGTATATTTAAATTCTAATTGCTATTTTAGTATGCAAAGGACGGTTGATCCTCTTCCATTAGTACCCACCAAACTGAAATTAACACTCTTTGATTGTCCGGGCACACCAATATCGCAGAAATTATGATGAAGCATGACTGTCTTTGAGCATGCCATCTCCTAGCCTAGGTCTCACGTGTGCTCAAACGATTCAGGATCTATATTACAGATAGGCCCGGATGAGCTACGATTGCACCATCCAACCATGCAATGTGCATCGCATCGCCCATACACTACCTGAGTTAAAATGAGAGAATTTATACCTCGCATCTCATGTGCAAGTACCACTGCGAGGTTATGGCGGCTTCTTTTTCACCACCGGTCAAGCCTCATCCGTGAATCCCCAGTCAGGGGAAGGTCTCCGAAACCCTGAGTTATCCAGACATGCCTACATCGTCCATTAAATTTTCTCCGCGCGAAATTTGGTCTCAGGTGTCTCCTTCCCAAGTGGAGTAGGTGCCCAGGCTACTCAAACTATTGCGGAGAACTGTCAAGGGATGGAGTGGATTGCGGTATCGTATGGTCACGTGCTATCACGCGTCTGATGCGCGATTCACGATGTATGTATATTTACAAGACTCAATAGGAGTCACCTTTCCTCTTCGTAGACAATCTCAATCACCAGATTAGACCTCGTCAATTTATCCTATGATCTTTACACTCACAGAAGACCGCCACGAGGCGGACCACGACACCTCCCATCGTTGGCTTGTTCTTATAGTGTGAGCTGCTCTCTCGCAATCAAAGCCTTGACGCGCATAGTGCTCAATTCATGTAACTCCTTGCCAAAAGTTCGAAATTCACGCTCATCGAGGTTACATTCTTCCTTTGCATCATCTTGTCAACTTGTCCTGAACCCTCTCACGTCCATCCCAAAGAACTGTCTCCCGGTTCTGTGCGCCACGCTTTGCTTCCTCTGTCGGGTGTAAATATCGGCGTGTGCGTGTGTTAGGCGACGAGCTAAGGCCAGATAATAGTCGAGGAGAGGTGTGGCCATTGGAATAAGGATGTACTAGGTCGTGCCTGCAGACTTGATGAGACTTAGGTAGGAGTCAGACTCGTTGGGAATGAAAAATTGACATGAAGTATTTTGAATCATTGCCTCGTGCGCCAACTTCTTAGGTCTGGCGAAATTTGTCTGAATTTGACTTTGAGAGAATATTTCAGCCCCAGGTTAGTAGAAGACACCGCGTTCAGGTGCTTAGTCTTGCCTCTTATCTCTGTCTTTATTATTAATTCATTTTATTTTCCTCTCTGAGTCTTGGATTATGTAGGACATGCAGATCCTCTCTGTCTACAGGCCAAGGATACCTATACCAGTAGTATATCCCCTCCTATGCCTCCCATACAGCTCCCCTCGTACAGTATCACCCCTCGCAAGTCCTCATTCGATCATACACTTAGAGCAACCCTTTGCCCTTCATTATCTCCCCTCTCCAGCCAACGAAACGATGGCCATTTGCGGGTGAATAGCAGCCGGGAAAAATCGAAAAAGCCACTGGATACGTGGCTCTCCTAATACCGACATTAGGACTAGATCCGAAGACATAGTGGCCCTTCTAATACGTTCGAAGAGCCCGGCAAGCTGGGCGCTGCAGACGTGCGGATACTTCGGGAAATTCACGCTCTGCCTTTCTAACCTCCTTCCAACTTCTTCCCGAAGGTCGTGCTGAAATGTCAGAAAAGTGTTGACAGTGCGTGATTGCTGTATGGCAGCTTAGCCCAACATCTTTTGTGCCGTTGACTCATCGACAATAGAAGTCCTCCTGGCTAATTAACCGAAATCTCGGTCTTGGCGCCCACAAAAAATCCAGAGTTGAAAACTACTCGAAAATGTCAGTCCCAGCCTGGTCTTCAGAGACCTGTTTCCACTTTCGCTCCACATCTCAGCCGCCTGTGCCTCCTCAAAACGTATAACCCTATTAGTGCATCAGTCCCCCACAAGCCAAGACCCAGGCTTTGTATATTACGACTTGATTTCCTCCTTGCGGGTTTAAGTAGCGTCGTAAATTTATAGTGAGTGATGGCCGGTAATCAATGAGGCAAGCTCCTGTTTACAGTTGGAGTAACGCCTTTATCGATTGTTGAAGCGAGATGATTCGTGGTTAGAATAGGGTTGAGGACTCAAGTGAGAACGGTAAGAGAGGCATTATCGAGAAGTCGTCAAATGGAGATGTGGATGTGTTTGCTTTCGACTTCGATTCGGATACGATTCTTCTGGGCTATCCCAGATATACAGAGCATACAGAGCGAGTACACCGGCACCACTGGAAGGTGAAGAATTCGTCTTTGCCGGCTCTCTTTCTTCATTAGATAGCATTATGCCAGCTTTTACTCTTCAATCGGTAAAAAGGCCCACTGTGTATACGCTGCCCTCTACCTAGCGATCTCCATATCAAATTATGTACTACATCTACTTCCTCTTTTTTCTTCATTTTCCAAACTTTCGTTTGAATATTAGTATCTTTGATCGCTCGGTCATCATTGATGCCTGCTAAGGTTAGCCACGAATATAAGGCTTTTCTCTTTTGGGCCAAATGAATTGACATGAAGTGTTCCTCTATCTCACGACTTGAAAGAATATTCAGGCAAACAAACTTGCACTTATATTTGATTCTAGAGCTATTTAGCCTCTCCGGCTTAAAGTTTAGTTGCATCAATGCGGTAAAATATTCCTAGCCCCTTGCATAATTTTTTCCTAAAATCATCTGGTTGATAGAGGATGTCTATTTAGCTAATTTAAACGACCAGGGTTGATTGTAAATAATTGCGAAACACCCAAGTGTTGAAATTATGGAGTACAGAGATAAGTCAGGTGATGGTTAATGGAAGTAATTGATGAAGGGGGTTTTTTTTTTTTTTTTATTATATTAAAGTCCTAAGCTAAAGCTCTAGGTCCACTACAGGTACAAGACTGGTGGAGCCGGCGGGGATCACTGCTTACAGGCCCAACTCATTCCAACCGCTGGACTTGCTACAGAAATAGTAGGAAGTAAATTACGACGCGGACACCACCTACTCCAACTCCTAGATCAAAAATCAATCCTTTTCCCTAAATCCAAATAGCTACAATCTTTCCTCAGAGAAACGACACTTCTCGCCTCGTTCCCTTTCTTGTCATGTGTTGTGGCAATGACTAGTTAATCTGATCCCCGCTGAGAGCAGTGGATGAGTGAGCAGGTCGTCTATCAAAACAGCCGGTTTCCTGCGCAAATATTTTGAAGCTTTCGTGCCACTTGGGCCCGAGAAGCTTTTTGACAAAGTCAGCGTGGGACATTGACTTTCTGAGCCTACGCGTGTGTTGTGCGTGGCGGCTACAGTGGATGAAGTGGGTTGGAGTAGTTTCCTTCCCGCAAGAGCACTCCATAGGAGCGTGTAGGTTATTAAAACGGCGATTGTATGCCGCAAAATTGCCGTGACCCGTTCGGGCTGCAATTAATTCTCGGAGCAGGTGCCTAGAGAGAGCTAGTTCAGGTGGTTTGCGTCGCCGAACCTGTAGGTTGAGTTGGCGGTATTTAGGCGGACAAGCCTCTATCCACCAGTCTTCCAGCAATTTTTGCCGCCGGTGATTCATGTGACCACGAAGATATGCCAGAGTACATGATCCTGGTGGTGTCTCCTGGCTAGGTAACTCTCGGAGTGCGGCACGGGCAATGGTGTCTGCCTCTTCGTTCCCTTGTATCCCTGCGTGCCCTGGCACCCATTTCACTAATATTTTTGCCTTATTGGATGACGCACGGAATTTGCGTACATCTTCAAGGCTAGTTGAGGATGAGCCCGTCGTTAGTGCGCTTACAGCCTGCTGGCTGTCTAGAAACAAGTGGATTTGCTGCGACCCTCCTACTCTCCTAGAGTTTCCGTTATCCAAGAACTCCAGTGCGGCTTCTAGAGCCTTCCTTGCTCCTATTATCTCTGCATCCAGCACCTCTCCCCCGTGCTTGATGCCACTTCCTTTGCCTATGTCTTTCCCATCCTTTTTCAGAACGAAACCCCAGGCAGAGCGTCCGTGTCCTTCCGATGAACCATCTGAGTATGCGCAGATGTCCGTTCCTGTCACGTTATTGATCCATCCAACGCAGTCGTTGCGTTCCGTCAGCCTTGAGCCTAACTTTTTAGGGTAGACTACCGGCGCCAGGGCCTCGGGAGCCTCTGCTTCCGGGAGCTCTCGATAAGCACGCTGTAACCGTGACATTTGGATCTCTGGTCTGGCAGAGAGTTTG